TCACTAAACCATGACCCGTTCACACTACTCTGCAGACCAAACTGCTATTGCCCGCACAGCATTTTGGGCTGCAGAGATATGCAGCAGGGGGCGATGCGCGCTTTATCGCATCACACAACTCCCCCCCCCCCCTTTATTTTAACCAGACTTTATTAAAAGCGTACAAAGTGACACTTCATTCATGTCACTGCACAGCAGCATGGCTGCATTTGCTGTGTGGTGACATACGGGACTAAGCAGAGTGGTGTGATATTATCCAAATATGTTGTATATTATCACACTGCTCTGGAATGCAGTGTAACATTGCGTTCTGGTCTTAACACGACACTGAAAACGTTTTTTTCTGTGTATCATTGCAGTTACCCGTGTGCTCCTTGAGGAAAGAGGCAGGTAACTGTTTTTGTGTGAATGGGCCTTTAGTTGTCTTAAAAGGTACAGCATGTCAGAATGTGCATAAAATGTAGCACATCATACTTTTTTTTTTTTTCTCTTTAGTGCATGCAGCATGGTGGTGTGAACTGAACACGAGACACAAGGCAAATTACCTTTTTAATGCATTGGGTTGTGTTGCCCTATATACTCATGTGCTTTTTCATTCTATATTTTAATCACATTTTTTTTTTTTTTTGCCATAAGCCTAAATAGAACAATGAAGTCATGAATTTTAAAAGGAGAGATCAAGTAAATATATTCAGTGAGAATAAAAATATATAAAAAAAAATAGATATATACCGAAGGTAAAATATGTTTTGAACATGTCAACATTTTTCTCTGTAAATATTTTTCTAAAGGTGTTATTGACATGAAATTTTCACCACGTGTCAGTAGCAACCCGTGCAATCCATACATACAGAGAAAGCTCTATCAGAAATCTAGCAAAAAGCACCTGGTCATGGCTGGTTTATAGTGAAATTATGTTCTTTCCACTTCCGGGGTTATGGCCCCAACAGTGCTCACTGGCACATTCAGAAGTTTAGAAAATCCTTCTGTAACCAATGCCATCCGTATGTTTTGCAACAATAAGGTTGCAAAAATCTTGAGAGAAGTCTTTGCTTTTAGCCATCATGAGATGTTTCTTGTGTAATGAGATAGATATCTTTTATAGGTCATCAGTTGAGACTGAACCAGCTGAGATTAATTTGCACTGACAAGGGGCAGGATTGCTTTCTAATTGCTGATAAATATCAGCTGGTGTCTCAACTTTCCATGCCTTTTTGCACCTCCCTTTCTTCACGTGTTCAATACTTCTTCCCTGTGTCATTCCATTTTATTACACCATGACAATTTCTGAACTTATTTGTTTCGGTTTTTCTTTGTATGTATGGATTGCATGGGTTGTAACCGACATGGTGAAAATTTCATGTCAATAGCACCTTTAGAAATATATTTACTGAGAAAAAATGTTGACATGTTCAATACTTATGTGTGTGTGTGTGTGTGTGTGTGTGTGTGTGTGTGTGTGTGTGTGTGTGTGTGTGTGTGTGTGTGTGTGTGTTTACATTATATAGGATTTCATTTTATTTTCCAGCTGCATATACAAATATGTCTATTTCTGTGTTTAGGGTCTGCATGTATCATTTCCTAAAGAAGGGGATATATACAATTCCAAATTTCAACCTAAAATATTCCCTATAAACCTAATGTGATACAAAGGTTTTTGTACATCTTTGGCAACACATGTCTTTGTACAGTGTGAGCCAATAGTGGACCTAACCAAATGCAAGACAGCAATTGAGGACACACAGCCCTACAGGTATTACTATATATCACAAAAAAAAAAAAAAAAAATAATAGACATGGTTTTTATGTAATGTTATACCCAAAACTCTTCTTTGAATCTTCGCCCTTATAATATTGTATTTTAAAAGAAGGAATCATGGAATATATAGACCTCAGCCTCCTTAAAACCTAATTAGACCACTGTTCCAGATTTGTTTTAAACTTCGATAAGGACATAGATATTAGACTAGGGCTGCTCAAACTAATCCAATTGTCCTAAAAGATCTCTGCAATTTTAATACATGTACAACCTTTCATCTAATTTCATAAGATGTTAATAGCGGCTGTGAGTCATTGCATAGTGCATACTAGCATGTACTCAAATATAGTCAACCCAATCTGCTTCGCTTCACACTTTTGTTGCTGGATGCCCTTTATTGACATGTATTGCACAATATCGAATAGATAAAAAGAAGCTGATATGTCAAATGACTGCTAGTAGGAAATACCAACTATCCCCTGCTTGCTGATACTTTAGTAACTGCATATCCAATGTCCTACAATATAGTAAATTATTATTACTGAAGTGTTAAAAAAAAAAGAAAAATGTTACTTGAGTACAGAAATCTATGAAATGTTTCTTGGGTATTTACCATTTTTACAGAATCCTATACACAGAAATAACCTTCACAGTGGAATCTTGATTACACAGGCCACCACTGTTTCCCCAACTGGCTCTCATCAGTGCAGGTTTTCCATTTCTCTTCATAAGATCATTACAGTAATCCTTTAACAGCTGCAGAGAATCACTAAATCCCCGTTAAATAATGTTAGGGGAAAAAAATTTAATAGGGTCAGCAAGCTCCTTCCTTAATGTTTAGCAATATTACTTATAATCGGGTGAAAGGTTTTTTTGGGAGGGTTGAAACTCTGTAAAATGTTTGCTTTAGCTAACGTAAACCAACATTTTTACATTTAATCCCCATTATGACTTACAACAAAATATGACATAACAATAACGATTATTCACTCTGCATGGAGGCTTAAAAACAGTTAAAATGATTATTTGCTTATTACCAGGTTCATGGAAGTCACATTAAAAGCATGTATATGCATTCTCCAGAAAATGCAGCCAACACCTTGTCTATACATGTTCCATGAACCATTCACAAAAGATGAAAGCAAATTGTCTAACCAGTCTATCTGTATGAATGATTCAATAAAATCAAACACCAAAATGAGCAGAGGAAAAAGCGCTCTCTAAAAATAAAAAAGGAGAGTTCTGTATTTGACATCTTTTCAGACACTACATATGTTGATTACATTGTTCTTGAACCTGGGAAGATACACAGAGCAAAGCACTTGCAGACCACATGCTATGTTGAACTGCAAGAACACCGTGATGGGGTGCTGAAAACAGCCATTGTGCACAGAGGTCTTTTACATGTAAGATACAATGAAAAACAGCAAGTGACAAAGAAAATTCCTCTAGCATGCAAATCAGTTCTATTTCCAGCCCTTGTTTCCCTATAACAGACACAGCTGTAGCCACCCAATTTTAATACCCTAGGTGGTTATTATATCAGAAGGCAAAGCAGACTAATGCTTTAAGTTGGCCGGCTGCTTCAAGAATTAAGGAATTGTATTCAAATGGATCCTATACTAGTAGCAAAATGAGAAGCAAGCTTAATTCTACTCCAAAGGCTGCCTAATGTACATTTGTCATTGGTAATCTCTAGGTTCTTTGTACTGAATGGGAAAACCGTCACAAGAGCAATTGTTCCACACATGATATCTCAGTATGCACAGTGATGCTGTTGCCCCTCCATTTATCCAGGCTGACGCATTTAGCTATGTGCAATGATTTTCTTTTCAATAGTCTTGCTGATTTAAAAAGCTTACATGCCCTTAAGACAGCAAGGCAGAAGAAAATCACAAAAGCTATACCAGAGGGCAAGATTGAGATTTCTTTCCCCTTCTTTTTATGATTAAGGATAAATTAAAATATAAAATTCTTCTCATTGCAATATGAAAAAAAAACTTCATATTGTTGCAAATCTGAAAATGCTATTATTCTAATTGCAACTAAACCGCATTAATAAAGCAATACTTTGTATTTGGAAATTATGGCATTAAAAATACAATTAGATAAGAGAACCCAGAACAGAGTACCCCCGTTACACAGCTCTGAGTCTCATTCAAAATCTGCCTTTGTGGTACAATGTACACCATGATTAGTGAAACAAAGACTGACAATAATTTGTCATAGATAATTACTATGATATGCCTTTATTCTGCGTTTCACCATTCTGTGAAGGTGGCTTGTGTCACTATTCGAAAACGGAGTAGCCACCACAGTACTCACCATTTTTCATTTTTTTTCTATTTTCATAGATTTAACAAAAAAACAAAAAACAAAAAAAACACCTTAAGTTTTTCAAAATAATCTGGAACAAGTTCCTCTGCAGGGTACAGTGTACATTTTCTTTCAGCCTGATAGAATTCACAATGCAAGTGTCAATATTGCTTCTAACTAGCAGATTTTTGTTTGACCATGTTACATTTCAAGATTATTGTATACTGTATACTATATGGTTAAATCTACATATTATGAATTTAAAGATTGTGAGAGGCATAATATAAGTCACCGTACAGTGAAATAATATGCAGGCAGATGATGTCACTTTATCCAACCCCATGTTTATTTAATCCAGAGCAAATAGTGCTTTGCAATCATTTCTACTGTTCATACTGTTGTTGCTGCCAAGTGTAAAGACTTATCAAGGAAATGCAGAAAGAATATACAGTATTAAAGTAAATATCTAGTCAAAAACTTTATTACGCTAGTTGTGGGTAGAATAGGAAAATGCTATAACCTTCAGGTTTCTATTGTTGCCTGTGTCCTATTGTAGAGATTTCCCCTCATATCCTGTCTTCTAAGACAACAGAGAGATGGGAAATCCCCACTCCTCTTCAATCTTCTCCTGAATCAGTGTTTCCAGTTGAAAATGACCCCTCACTACCAGTTCTTGTAGTTCTGGTTTGTCTGGCTTTACCTTTTCTTTTCTGCGCAAAAAGGCAAAGATGGCAGCACCCAAGGAGAGAATAAAAAGTGAAGACAGGAGCAGCATTTTGTAAACAAGATGGTTAATTTGCAGTTGATATCTGTAAACACTGGAAAAGGAAAGAGTTGCTCTAAATTGCTCTAAATCAGGGGTCTCCAAACTTTTCAAAGGGCCACTCTACTGTCCTTCAGACTTTTGGGGGGCCGGATTGTGGCCAGTGACCAGGCCTGGTATGAGTGAAAGTAAACAATGCCTCAGGTGTGGTGTGCCGTTGCATAGTGCCTGTGGTAGTAGGAGGAGGAATAGTGCCCAATTGTTGGTGTCAGTGACAGAAATAGTGCCCCATCGTCTGTGTCAGTTGGGGAATTATGCCCCACTGTTGGCGTTAGGAATAATGACTCAAATTAGTGGGAGTATTCATGCCCCAAGGGCCGGATATAGGCTAGCAAAGGGCCCCATCATTGGTGTCAGTGGGAGGAATAGTGCCCCATCACTGGTGTCAGTGGGAGGAATAGTGCCCCATCACTGGTGTCAGTGGGAGGAATAGTGCCCCATCACTGATGTCAGTGGGAGGAATAGTGCCCCCATCACTGATATGTGATGGATTTGGTAAAATGCCTATTCTGTTTTCTGTTTAAAGTATACATATTATACATATTTACTTTTATACTTTTTTATATTTCTAAATATATGTGTTGTGAGTATATATATATATATATATATATATATATATATATATATATATATATATATATTTTGTCTGCTGGGCTTTGCAGTCCTCCTTAACTTGTTTTGCTCAGAGCGATGCTCTCAACCCCTCCCTTCGCACTGAGATGATTTCACTTAGACTTTGGGAATGTGAAGGGGAGTGGACAGAGATAACGGGTTGAGAAGCAAGCATCAAGTTTCTACATTTCTCCTATATTTCAACCAAGCAAAATGTGCCTTTCAGAATGTGACTGTATATACGTAATAGTGACGTGTACTCTATTGTTCTCTATGTATAAAAGGTTAAGCACCGCCCTGCAATAAACAGAGATGAGATGATGTGAAAGGTGGTTGTACTGGACAGTTGTCCGTGTAATTATTTTCCGGCGTGCACGCAATCCATATCTCAAAATTAGGAGCAGCAGCAGAAATCCTACCCTGAGCCCGATTGTGGTTCTCCCAACCTTTTTAGCTGGCGCCCAACGTGGGGCCCCAGGTTGTGACCGATGGAAGTCCGCACGTGAGACTGAGCGGCTGGCTGGGACAGACCAAAAGGGATTTGCGCACCCCTGAGAGTACGGTAGGTACTTTTTATACTTACCACTGTACGATTTGTTTCTGTCCAGCCTTGGCGCCAGTTTTGTCGGCTTCCAGAGGTCATCAAGAGCGGCAGGTAATTTTTTATTTCTCGCCTGGGGCTGTTTAACGAACCTGCCATTGGATCTCTGCTGACTGTGTATTTGTTCAATGTCTGTCGTCCTGTGCGACTGTGATAACTCAGTAGACTGAAAGATAAGTTGCAATGAGTGTCCTGACCAGGTGAGCTGTTGGCCCCTGGAAGACGGAACCTTGCAAATATGTTGCAATGAGATTTCTGACCAGGTGAGCTGTTGGCCCCTGGAAGACGGAACCTTGCAACAAGCGTCTACGGACGGTGACTCGGGGTTGACGGTGTGAGACCCCTGAGGGTTTAGCTCAGCTGCTGAGGCTTCACGGAGCGAGGGGCGGCAGGTGTAATGTCCTGTTCTGAGTGTATTTGTGAATCACTGTTTGTTCTGAGATAAGACAGAAAGCAGCGGAATAGGGATATTAATCTAATAGTTGCCCGCGCTGCCTCTGAAGCAGCGGAATAGGGATATTAATTTAATAGTTGCCCTCACTGCCTCTGAAACCGTTAGCTGAGACTAAGGTGAAAGAACAGAACAGAGTGAGAAGTTGGGTGACCCAGAGAGAGGGGGGAAGATGGGTCAGAAGACAGTCAAGCCACAGAAAGGATTATTAGTATGTGATAGTGTAAAGAGGAGAGAAGGAAGTGAAGCAGTTAAAAAGTTATCTAAAGTAGCGAAAGTTTGTAAGCTGAAGGTCAGAGGACTGGCATAAATCATTGTAGGAACGAGAGGAATGTTATGTGATGAAGGTTTGCTGAACGTGAGAGAAGTTTGGAACAGAACTGGAAAAGTGTTGCATAAAGAAGGATAGTTGGAAGAAATTCAAGAAAATGGCAATTGTATAATGTATTTGTATCACAAAATTGTAAATGGAAGTGTGTGCTAAAATCACCGCCCTATGTTGGAATGTGTGGGGTGGAAGAGGGGAGGGACAGCCCTGCCCTTCATCTAACGCCCACTTTATGCCCACCACCCCAGCCCTGCCCAGTGCACTTCCTGCTAGCAGCCATCTTGCTATACCTGTGTTGTCACTTCCTGTCCAGCCCAGTGCACTTCTGCCTGCTAGCAGCCATCTTGCTACATCTGTATGGTCATTTCCTGTCCAGCCCAGTGCACTTCTGCCTGGCAGCCATCTTGGTATACACCCGGAAGGCCTAAATAAGGCATATACCCAGTTCTCCCTGTTCTAAACCAGGATGCTTCCTACCACACTCCCGTTTTCCCCAATATGGAAATCACCTTCACAAGCCTTCACAAGCCGGATACATGAATGACAATGCATCTGAATGGAGTGATCAACAGTTGCAAGCAACAAGGGCGCCAATAGATTTGATTCCCAAACCCACGCACAGTGGAGTACAACCTAAACAGGAACAGTACACAAGACAACACCGACATTCAAGATTACCGGAAGGGGCACCGGTAGTGTATGTCGCTTTTACCCCATCACAAGCAGCGGCCTTAGTGACGAGTCTGCCTGACCCAGAGAAACAGCCAATACCCTTTTATCGCAGGGTAGTGCAGATACAAGAAACTTACTCAGCTGCTTGGAAAGACCTGCTCAGTCTATGCCAAATTAAAGCAGGACATGTTTTCTGGCCAGTTATGCAGACGGCCTTCAATGATGCCTGCCTGACAAGTGTTATTTCCTATTCTTCAGGCGTGGAGTTTTGTGCCCAGCTCCATGACTGGGCAAAGGAGAAATTGGCGGATCAGACTACCACGATTCAAGACATCACCCAAGATAAGGGGAGTCTGTGGAGAAGTATTATGCCAGACTCATACAGGCCTTTGATGATCTGGGCTTCTCTCAATATGAAAAGGCACGCACACACATGCTCTCAACTGCTTTTGTCTCATGGCTCAAAGAGGATATTAGGAAAGGTCTGATGGTGGCCTGCCCTGAATACTGCTCTATGAAGATGTCTGACTTACTGTTGGCGGCCAGAGGCATAGAAAAAAAAAAAAAAAAAAAAAAAAAAAAAAACCAGCGCCCCTCATGGTGGTCAATGACGAAGATCCCACCTACACTCGTCCACCACCATTGCCAAATATCAGGGAAAGGATCACCTGTTATAACTGTGGGAAACGGGGACACTTTAGAAGAGAATGCAGAGCCCCAAGATATCCCAGACAAGACAGGGACCCCCGAGAAGGGCAGCGTGAATATCAACCACCACTCCCCAACTCTCGTTAGGAAATGGGCAAACCCGTGTCACTCCTTATGGCAGTATTTTCAAACAAGACTGGGGGACCGTGTGTAGCTGTAATCCAGGATATTCCTCAACTTAAAGCAGCTAAACAACTGCATGCCTTTCTTGGACTCATATCCTACTGCAGGACATGAATCCCTGATGCTCTCAAGTCTGTGCCATTTACTTTGTCAAGCGAGGCCCTGGACAATTTTATTCTGCTGAAGCAAGCAATATCCACCGCTCCTGCCTTGGGACTTCCAGATTATGAGAAACCTTTCAAACTGTGTCAGAAAAGCAAGGCCACGCCACGGAGGTCCTAGCTCAAGAACATGGAGGGCAAACCAGACCCATTGGGTACTATTCTTGCCATTTGGACCCCGTAGCTAGGGGTGGTCCTTCATGTCTAAAGAGCCATCTTCGCTGCTCAAGCACTGTTGGACAAAACTTCAGATCTCGTTTTAGCACACCTCCTGCTTCTTCTGGCACCGTATGACATTGCTGCCATCCTGAATCAAGTACAACCCCGACACCAGTCCACGGCCAGACATCTACGGTTGCAAATCTTCCTCCTCATTCCTGACAATGTGACCCTCCAAAGGTGTCTCACCCTCAACCCAGCCACCCTTCTTCCATTTTTCTAGGGGGGGGAGAAGAAGGCGAAGAAGGAGACCCCTGCACTACTCTACATGACTGCCTTGAAATGATGCGCATGGAAACCACACATCTCCCTACAGTGAGTGAAATTCCTCTGGAAAACCCTGATTACACACTTTTTGTGGATGGCTCCATATATGCAGATGAAAGAGGAAAGTACCACACAGGTTATGCTGTGACCTCGGAATTTGAAATTCTACAAGCAGGAGCATTATCACCAACTTTCTCTGCCCAGGAAGCAGAGCTTCAAGCCCTCACTACAGCGTGTAAGATGGCAGAAGGTAAAAGAGCTAATATTTACACAGACTCAAGGTACGCCTTTGGAGTAGCTTATGACTTCGGTATCATCTGGAAAGCCAGAGACTGGAACACTGGTAAAACACGGCCCAGCCATCAAGGATTTAATGGATGCACTGCTCCTGCCTGACCAAGTGGCTGTCTTGAAGGTTAAAGCACATGGTAAACTGAATTCTCAAGAGGCCAGAGGGAACCACTTGGCGGATATAGCTGCCAAAGAAGCAGCGAAAAACCAACGAAAAACGTCCGAGGTGGCTGAAGAGGAGAGTGAGACCTCAGTACAGATACTTTTGGCAGTGCATGTGCCATCTGACAAGCAATACCTGATTTTTATGTAAATGGCCGCTTATACAGAAGAAAGGCTGGAATGGATTGATAAAGGAGCAGACTACGATGGAGAATTGTATTCAATGAAAGGAAAAAATTTGTTTACCAAAACATATGTATCCAGCAATTGTCCAATGGACGCATGGACATGCACATCTCTCTAAGAACTTAATGAACTCACTGATCAGCAAGTATTACTGGGCTCCAGGGATAACCACCTTAACCAGAAATTACTGAGCCTCGTGTGTAGTATGTGCAAAATGCAACCCGGGGAGGACGGAAAAGACACCGCAGAAACATCTGGCAAAACGTCTCTATCCATTCCAGAGGATACAGATTGATCATATACAGATGCCAAAAAGTGGCCGATATGAATATGCTCTAGTGGTGGTGGACATGTTCTCTGGTTGGCCGGAAGCCTATGCTGTTACAAACATGACAGCCAAGACCACGGCTAAGAAACTACTGAGTGAGGTAGTCTGTAGATTTAGGATCCCAGAGGTGATAGAGAGTGATCAGGGTCCAGCCTTCACAGCAACCCTTATAAAAAAGAGATTTGGACAGCACTGGGGGTCGAGTTGGCCTTACACACACCCCGTATCACCCTCAAAGCAGTGGGAAGGTAGAAAGGATGAATGGGACTCTAAAAAACAGGATGCTAAAAATGGCCCAAGAGACTGGCATGAGTTGGCCAGACAGTTTGCCCATTGCTCTGTTTAGTGTCAGACACACCCCCCCGGGGGAAACATGCCCTGTCCCCTTAAGAAATTTTGTTTAGCTCAGCCCCCCAGACTTGGCTGTTACTTTCCGCAACAGTTGCAATTACAATCTGATGTGTTAACTGATTATGTGACTGTATTATCACGTGAATTAACCCATATCTATGTCCAAGTGTTTTCTCCATTCCAGATTCTGAGTCAGATACAGGAACTCACAGCCTATTACCCGGAGATTGGGTATTAGTAAAGACATTTATGAGGAAACATTCCCTTGAGCCAAGATATAATGGTCCATTCCAAGTTCTGCTGACCACAGCCACTTCTGTCAAGGTGGCCGGGAAGAACACTTGGATACACGCCTCCCACTGCAAGAATGTCCAACCCCTGAGGAAAAGGAGTCATCTACACCATGACAACTATGTTGTATATCCTTTTTCTTATAAGTCTGACAGAGGCTCAACAGGTGGCTATCACCGAAATAGGCGACACCACTATATTTTGGTACAACTCATCCAACACTCATGTAGTTATTTTTACCTTTGATTTCTGTAGTATAGATCCCATGTGGTGCTATGACCATAATCTATATGATCTTAATACAACGAGCATGTTCCGATAGTAGTGACCAGGTATACATATGTGTCATGGATGATTACTGGGGACCAAAAGATTAGAATAAGATTGGAAGGGATTTGGACTGGTGAGTATGCCCTTGCAAAGGTCATTATGCCTCTCCACATCCTAGCAGAGAATACCCCTGACCCAACGCCTGGCCGTAGGAGGAAGCGAAAAGCTCCTTCTGGTAGTTTTGACCCACAAGTGTATATAGATGCCATTGGAGTCCCAAGGGGGGTGTCTAATAAATTCAAAGCAAGAGACCAAGTAAAAGCAGGCTTCGAATTTTTGATCCCCATAATAACTGTTAATAAAAATGTAGATTGGATAGATTACATATACTACAACCAACAGAGGTTTGTGAATTACACCAGAGATGCCCTCCAAGGAATCGTTGACCAGTTAGCCCCTACATCCTACATGACATTCCAGAATAGGATGGCTCTGGACATGATTTTAGCGGAAAAAGGAGGTGTTTGTTTGTAAAATGATAGAAGGAACTGGAACATGTTGTACATATATTCCTGACAATACTGGCCCGAATGGTAAGGTTACTCTGGCTATAAAAAAATTAGAAGATCTGTCAGTGGAGCTGAAGAAGAACTCAGGTATCTCAGACCTGTGGGATCAATATTTTAGCTGGATGAGTGGGTGGCAAAAAGTGCTCGCCCAAATAGGGGTAACGGTACTAATAATTCTAGTTCTTTTAGCTCTGATTGTATGTTGTATTCTATCATTTGTAAAGAAGTTAATAAGCAAGGTTGTAGACAACAGCACACCTACATTTCTCCATCAAGAAGAGGAGGACCCTTTTGTGATGGAAGAGGATAAACCTTTCACTCCTCTACAGTCCCCCCCACCAACAGCAATCTCACAATTTTGTAGGGATAGCATCTGACTTCCTTATGTACAAAGTCTGTGGCAAGGGGGGTGATGAAATAGTCATCACTTGTCTAACGTACAGCACAAAAGAGTTCCAAGGTACATAAGGACAGATGAGCTAGGCTTTATAGGGACAGAGTAAAATAGTCATTTTAAGGGGGGACTGTGATGGATTTGGTAAAATGCCTATTCTGTTTTCTGTTTAAAAAAATATACATTTTATACATATTTAATTTTTTATTCTTTTTTATATTTCTAAATATATATGTGTGTGTAGTATATATATATATATATATATATATATATATATTTTGTCTGCTGGGCTTTGCAGTCCTCCTTAACTTGTTTTGCTCAGAGCGATGCTCTCAACCCCTCCCTTCGCACTGAGATGATTTCACTTAGACTTTGGGAATGTGAAGGGGAGTGAACAGAGATAACGGGTTGAGAAGCAAGCATCAAGTTTCTACATTTCTCCTATATTTCAACCAAGCAAAATGTGCCTTTCAGAATGTGACTGTATATACGTAATAGTGACGTGTACTCTATTGTTCTCTATGTATAAAAGGTTAAGCACCGCCCTGCAATAAACAGAGATGAGATGATGTGAAAGGTGGTTGTACTGGACAGTTGTCCGTGTAATTATTTTCCGGCGTGCACGCAATCCATATCTCAAAATTAGGAGCAGCAGCAGAAATCCTACCCTGAGCCCGATTGTGGTTCTCCCAACCTTTTTAATATCAGTGGGAGGAATAGTGCCCCCATCACTGATATCAGTGGGAGGAATAGTGCCCCCATCATTTATATCAGTGGGAGGAATAGTGCCCCATCATTGATATCAGTGGGAGGAATAGTGCCCCATCATTGATATCAGTGGGAGGAATAGTGCCCCATCATTGGTGTCAGTGGGAGGAATAGTGCCCCATCATTGGTGTCAGTGGGAGGAATAGTGCCCCATCATTGATATCAGTGGGAGGAATAGTGCCCCCATCATTGATGTCAGTGGGAGGAATAGTGCCCCATCATTGATGTCAGTGGGAGGAATAGTGCCCCCATCATTGATGTCAGTGGGAGGAATAGTGCTCCATCATTGATGTCAGTGGGAGGAATAGTGCCCCATCATTGATGTCAGTGGGAGGAATAGTGCCCCATCATTGATGTCAGTGGGAGGAATAGTGCCCCATCAGTGATGTCAGTGGGAGGAATAGTGCCCCATCATTGATGTCAGTGGGAGGAATAGTGCCCCATCATTGATATCAGTTGGAGGAATAGTGTCCCATTATTGATATCAGTGGGAGCAATAGTGCCCCATCATTGATGTCAGTGGGAGGAATAGTGTCCCATTATTGATGTCAATGGGAGGAATAGTGCTCCATCATTGATGTCAGTGGGAGGAATAGTGTACCATCACTGATCTTAGAAGAAGGAATAGTGCCCCATCATTGGTATTAGTGGGAGCAATAGTGCCCATTGTTTTTGTCATTTGGGAGAATTAGTGCCCTAAGGGCCACATAAAGGCTAGCAAAGGGCCACATCCTGCCCTCGGACCGCAGTTTGGAGACCACTAAATAGACTATAATGTCTCTTAAACTTCTGTTCCAATGCTGCAACCTCTGTCATTCTCTTCAGCAATTACAGTAGTATTGGATGCCTGTGTCCCCTTTCGTGTTCTGTAGTTCCATCCTTTGACCAACCATGGACCGTGGTAGGGGACATAGGCATCCAAAGCTCCAAGAAGTGTTGGCAAAAGAATCTGGCAAAAGTAGGACACATGGGCAACCAGATAAGTTTTTCTTTGTATTTGGAGGCCTGAGAAAGCCACTTTAAAAAAGGTACACTGCCCAGACAATTAAACCTGAAAAAAACTCAAACTAGTCTATAAACGAATAAATCTATATGCATAGGTTACCCGCATTAAGGGCTCATTCACACTAGAATGTTGTGCAGGAAACCCATATTCCATGCGGATTTGCCACACTGCATTCCAAACGCACTGACCTTGCGATCTGCAGCGGGATGTCCGTGTAATCTTAATGACAACCCAAATGCAGTGCCTTTGCCCACACTGGATTGCGTGGTACAAAAGTTACATTTGATCCAGTTGTAGTGCATTTCCAAAAGCAGTTCATGCACTACTTTTGGTGCAAAAAGAATGGGCTAAAATCGCACTGCACAGAACTGCATCTGATTGGAAGAGGAACATGCATCCCATTTCTGTGAGATTCCTAGTTTTAATGGGCCCTGAAGCCACATGTCAAAATCTGTATATTAAGGGATACAGGTAGCTGTTTTATTCTTAGTAGCTTCCCCTCCCACCACCTACGTTGCATGATTTTTCCTTTAAGATTTGTATACACACACATTTTAAAAAGCTGAGGCGCTTTCCTGAAGCCCCCTTGAGCCCAACTGCAAATGTTAAACACAGATCTAAATAAGTGTACAAATTGGCACTTTTAAAGTGATTGTAAAAAGGTTTAATTTTTTTTTTTATAAAAAAACAAACATGTTATATTTACTTGCTCTGTACAATGGTTTTGCACGGAGCAACCTGGATCCTCCTCTTCCCTTAGTGCCCCTACAGCAAGCTGCCTACTATGGGGGCAGTTGTGCGGGCTCAATCCTGAGCTGCACTGCGTGTTTACTGACATACAAAGGTGGCTCAGTCCTGTCCCACACTCTCTGCTCACAGGATTTGACTGACAACAAATGCTGCAAATGGGTACAGCGATGGATCAAGGTCAGGCTCAGGTAAGTATTTCAGGGGGATCCAAAATGGAATTAATCTGACACTAGGTGCAATCCATAAAACCGAAAATCTTTATTGGCTACATTTAAAAACACATTAATAGTATGCTAATGTGTTTCCACCATAGCAGCCTTCCTCATAGTGCCAAGGTAATTCAAGGGAAGCTGGGGGGGCTGACATGGAACAGTTTTTTTTTTTTTAACCTTAAAGCAGAGAATACATCATGCAATGTCATTCCATGAGAATGGAAAATATGACCCCCAATTGCATGATAGATACAAAATTCCCTTTGACACCTGGAGTCTCTGGCTACTGTATATGGAAGTTTAAAGCTCATTTAGAGCTCAGAATCAAGAATCCTCAGCAATAACGCTAGCTATTTCCATAGGCATCACTCAATCACATGCAGAAAAGCTGGAATGCAGCGAGCTAAAGGTTCGTATGGAAAGTCCATCCAAGAACTTTTAGCGCACTGCATTTAAGCTTTTTTATATATATATATATATATATATATATATACACACACACACACACACACATATACATATATATATATATATATATATATATATATATATACATATACATATATATATATATATATATATATATATATATATATATATACACAGTGGGGCAAAAAAGTATTTAGTCAGCCACCAATTGTGCAAGTTCTCCCACTTAAAAAGATGAGAGAGGCCTGTAATTGGCATCATAGGTAGACCTCAACTATGAGAGACAAAATGAGAAAAAAAATCCAGACAATCACATTGGCTGATTTGGAAAGAATTTATTTGCAAATTATGGTGGAAAATAAGTATTTGGTCACCTACAAACAAGCATGATTTATGGCTCTCACAGACCTGTACCTTCTTCTTTAAAGAGGCTCCTCTGTCCTGCACTCATTACCTGTATCAATGGCACCTGTTTGAGGTTGTGAACAGGTGTCTTTTATACTGATAACAAGTTCAAACAGTCACACTCCAAACTCCACTATGGTGAAGACCAAAGAGCTGTCGAAGGACACCAGAAACAAAAATTATAGACCTGCACCAGGCTGGGAAGACTGAATCTGCCATAGGCAAGCAACTTGGTGTGAACAAATCAACTGTGGGAGCAATAATTAGAAAACGGAAGACATACAAGACCACTGATAATCTCCCTCGATCTGGGGCTCCACACAAGATCTCACCCCGTGGGGTCAAAATGATCACAAGAACGGTGAGCAAAAATCCCAGGACCACACGGGGGACCTAGTGAATGACCTGCAGAGAGCTGGGACCAACATAACAAAGGCTACCATCAGTAATACACTACACTGCCAGGGTCTCAGATCCTGCAGTGCCAGACGTGTCCCCCTGCTTAAGCCAGTACATGTCTGGGCCCATCTGAAGTTTGCTAGAGAGCATTTGGATGATCCAGAAGAGGATTGGGAGAATGTCATATGGTCAGATGAAACCAAAAAAGAACTGTTTCGTAGAAACACAACTCATGTTTGGAGGAGAGAGAATGCTGAGTTGCATCCAAAGAACACCATACCTACTGTGAAGCATGGGGGTGGCAACATCATGCTTTGGGGCTGTTTCTCCGCAACGGGACCAGGACGACTGATCCATGTACAGGACAGAATGAATGGGGCCATGTATCGTGAGCTTTTGAGTGCAAACCTTCCATCAGCAAGGGCATTGAAGATGAAACGTGGCTGGGTCTTCCAACATGACAATGATCCCAAACATACCGCCTGGGCAACGAAGGAGTGGCTTCGTAAGAACCATTTCAAGGTCCTGGAGTGGCCTAGCCAGTCTCCAGATCTCAACCCCATAGAAAACCATTGGAGGGAGTTGAAAGTCCGTGTTGCCCAGCGACAGCCCCAAAACATCACTGTTCTAGAGGAGATCTGCATGGAGGAATGGGCCAACATACCAGCAACAGTGTGTGCCAACCTTGTGAAGACTTACAGGAAATGTTTGACCTCTGTCATTGCCAACAAAGGATATATAACAAAGTATTGAGATGAACTTTTGATATTGACCAAATACTTATTTGCCATCATAATTTGCAAATAAATTCTTTCCAAATCAGCCAATGTGATTGTCTGGATTTTTTTTCTCATTTTGTCTCTCATAGTTGAGGTCTACCTATGATGCCAATTACAGGCCTCTCTCATCTTTTTAAGTTGGAGAACTTGCACAATTGATGGCTGACTAAATACTTTTTTGCCCCACTGTGTATATATATATATATATATATATATATATATATATATATATATATATATATATATATATATATATATATATATATATATATACACACACATACATACATACATACATACATACATACATACATACATACATACATACATACATATATATATCTATATATATATATACACACACACACACACATATACATACACACACACACACATTCTCCATACATTCAAATGGACTGTGGGCAGCACAGCACAAGATTTATGGCGATTTTCCAGTTGTTTAGCGCCTGGCACTAAGGTTTATACTCTCATTCTCTCTTTTTTCCCCCTTTCTCCTCATTCTCTCTTTTCCTGTTTTTTTCTCAATTTCCATTTGACCTCTTATATCTCATCACTTGAGACATTATTTCATTCTCTGCAGGTTACATGCTGATATTTCATCATGACACTTGGTTAGACCCTTTGTATATCAACCTTCATTCTTATTTGATATATCCTGGCCTGGCCTGGCAACTGGATGCACTGATCATGTACCTCTCATTGTAACCCCAAGGATTCATTTGGACATTGTATCATGCTTTGTGTATGCCTTTATACCTTGTTTCCTGTCCTAAATGAAAATAAAATACTTGAAATGTAAAAAGATGATTAGAAATACTTTCATTGGCTGGTATCCAACACCTATGACAGATACAGGTCATCTCCTGAACTTTTAAATACAACCCACCAGCCGCTACGTCACTACCCTGTAGACACTGAACTTGGCACAATGAGAAGCATGGGATACCAGTAGAGGCTGAAGCTCTAAAGGAAGGTGAAGATGGGAAGAGAAGCAACAATTCATCAGATCTGGATGCC